CTCATCCTTTCTACTTCACTCACAGCATCAGCCTCACCATCTGCTGAACTAGGAAAAGAGTAACCATCAGGCAAAAATTGCCTCAACTCCCTGACTCCACTCCTCCCCCCAAAATGTGGTGTTTCTTTCATTCTCTAGAGAATATGAGGAAAGTATGGCCCCTCTCACCTAAATAAATACACATATGACCACACACACACCACACGTGCCCACACAAATTTGCATGCAGCATTTTACGTACAATTTCAGGAAGTTGAAAAACCTCTAGAGCCCATCCAAGTACCCCTTAGAGGTCTCTGGAGCCCAGATTAAGACCAGAGACCCTGTTCTAGACTTGAAAGTACACCTCTTAATGGACAGATCAGATTAGGTTTACTTCCTACAAGATAAAGCTCATGCTCCTTAGCATGTAACCAAGGCCTTCTGTGATTTAAATTTAACCTGTATTTCCAGCTTCCATTCTGCCTTCCATGAATCCTGTGGGCTCTGCTCACTGAATTAATGCTAGCCACTTCCTGGTTGTGCCATTCCTTTCTTGTCTCCATGTCTTTACACATGCTGTTTCTTCTAACAGGACTCTTTTACCTTACCCCATCAAATTTCTATTTATCCCTCAACATTCCTGCCCAAATACTATCTCCTCCAGGAAGCCTTTCTGGATTAGCTATCTCTTCTCATGACTTTTGTTTGTCCCTATTATTGCACCATCACCCTATATTGTGATCACCTGTTCAGGTATGTTCAGGTATTTCAGGTATGTCTCCTGATATATAACAAACTATCCCAAAACTTGGTGGCTTAACACAATTTAGTATTTCTCATGATTCTGTGGATGGACTGGGTATTTCCTCACTCATGCAGTTCATTCAGCTGGAGGACTGGCTGACCTGAAAGTCCAAAATTGCCTCACCACATGTTTGGAAAATAGGGGTACCTTGGCTCTCTTCCATGTGGCCTCTCATTTCCCAGTTGGTTAGACTGGCTTCCTTACTTAGCAGTCTCAGGGCAATGGCACACCAGGAGGGCAAAAGCCAAAGCTATAAGGTCTTTTGAGGCCTAGAATCTGGAACTTGCACAATATCACTTCCTACAGAACTGTACTTTCTATTGGGCAAAGCAAGTCACGAAGATAGCCCATAATCAATGGGTGAGGAAATGCAGCTCTTGATAGGAGATGCTACAAGGAATTGTGGCCATATTTAATCTGCCTTGAGTCTGACCCCTCCACTACACTTGGAGTTCCTCCAAGGCAAGGACCTTGCCTTATCCTTCCTTTACTCAAACATTTTTCTAGTACTCACTTATGCTTGGCCCAGGGTTCTTCCCTTCAAGGGGGTTAGATTTGCAAATAGATAATTATGGCTCAGTGGTTTAAGTGCTATAACAGGGGTGTAAGTAAGTTTTTAAGATAACACAGTGGAAGGAGGGGTAAATCAGAGCAAGCTTTACAGAGGAGGTAGTGACTGAATGGTATTTCTGAGGAGGAGGAGTTCACTTGGTGAACAAGGAAGCAAGGGCATTCCAGATAAAAGCAACACTATGTGCAAAGGGTGTAGAGGTATAACACAGAATGATATATTTGGGGACCTGCTGGCAGTTCAGTTCTGTTAGAGAGTAAAATACTAGGGAAGCTGGTAGGAGATGAAGCTGGAAAAGTAACCCGGGGAGTAGCTGGAAATACCATCTGCTCTTTACACAATGCCTGGTATGTAATAGTTGCTCAGTTATGTTGGATTTAGAAAATCATTGAACTAGGTCTTGAAAGTAGGGGGTATTGGTTTCTGATTTAGATTCCCATTTACTTAGCTTCTGCTGAGTGCCTAATCCTCTTAACCATTACTTCAGTTTACCCTTATAGCGACAGTACAAGCTAGGATTCATTGCCCCCAATTTATTGCTAAAGAAACAGACCTAGATGGGGGAAGTAACTTTTCTAAGAACATATAAATCCTGAGTAACAGAATCAAGATTTGAACTTAAGTCTGTCTGGCCCTGAATCACATATTGTTTCCCAGCCCTACACTGGGCTCAGGGCTTATCTCATAATCTTTCTACTGAGATCTCCCTCAATCTAGACCCTGTGCTGGGTGAATGGATAAAAATGATCTCTCAAGTAGAAGAAATAGATATGTAAATAACCAAAATATACATGATCAGAGGGAAACCAAGGGACAGTGAAAATTCGGAGGAGGTAACAAATCCAGCCTTAGGGGAAAAATTAAGCCTTCCAGAATTAACCAAACTGGGGATATTGGGAGACATGGAGGATAATCCAGCCCAGAGTCTAGATCACGGAGTGCTCAGAGAGCTACAGGTAGCTCTGCAGAGCTGAATGCCCAGAGGTCAAAGGGAGAAAGTAGGAGTGACAGAAGAGTCTGGAGATGTGGGCAGGGCAGGGCAGGGAAGGCCTGTATGCCATGTTGCAAGGATTCAAAGAAGGGGGAAACAGGGTTACTCCTGCAAAACAGGAAGATCACACTGTGTGCAGTGGAGGATGCGTTGCAGGGAGAGAAACCGGAAACCAGATGAGATGGGAGACAGCTGCAAATTTAGAGACTAATAAGATTATGGGGCCGGCCCGTGGCTCACTCGGGAGAGTGCGGTGCTGATAACACCAAGGCCCCG